AATGAATAAAAAACAAAACCCTCTGTACCTACACCACACGGTGTAGAGCACTTACCGCTCAGGGATCATGAGAATGTTTTATTTTGTTTTAAGTCTCTTTAAGTATTTCTCTCGCTTTCTCTCTCTCTTGTTTAAGCGTATGTATTGCTTTCATAAATGCTGTCATTGGGAAGGAACCCTCCCGGTATTTACAGCCTAACCCTCACTCTCACTTGTCAGCCGCTCTTCAAAAGAAGAGCCAACCCTGGCTCCACATCCCTTCCAAGTCATTCCATTCATTCACTCATTCAGCCGGTTCTCTCCCAATCTCTCCACTGGAAATGCTCATGGAAAGTGCACCAGTGATCTCAACACCCAACTCAGGTTGCTGGCTTAGGGTCTCACCTTAACTGACCTCTTTGTGGCACTTGATCTTATTGACTACTCCCTTTTTCTATTGATTTTATATGCTTTTTTAAAATTATGCCGTATTCGACATATAAAAGAATGTATTGAACATTTGACACATAAAAGAATGTATTGAACCTTGCTGGAGTATAGAACATGAAAGGAACACCCATGAACCAATCTCCCAGCCTCAGAACTCGAGCATTACCATCACGGCTGCATCTGTACCTGTGCCGCTTCCCTGTCCCACTCCTCCCTCCCCCAGATGTAAGGAATATGCTGGATTTGGTGTTCATCATGCCCTTGCTCTTGTGTATAGTTTAGCACACATGTCTGTGTGCTTCCATCAACAATTTATTTACTTTGCTTCTTTTTGAACCTTATCTGGCGGGTTATTGTCATTCGTCTTTATACCTTATAAATATTTCATAAATAATTTTTGTACTTACTATTTGGTAATAAAAGTCATTAAAACAAAAAATGAGCTCCCTAGGTGATTGTGATGGGCTGGTATTTAGACATTACAGCTATAGTTTCCGCTTCCCTAACAACTGTCATACCTTTTGCCTATTCTCTGTCCCATTGCTATTCAGATTCCTGCTTGCCTCTATTCTCCTTGCCGGCTGGCACAGGGCTCTTTCAGACATGCACTTGCCTGCTTAAAATCTCTCAGTGGCTCCCCCTTACCTACAGATAAAGTCCAAACTCCAAAGTGTGGCCTACACGGCCTGCCATGATCTGGCCCCTGCCTACCCTTCCAGCTTTATCTTTTGCCACTCACTCCTCACACCCAGCTGCCTTGCCTGCAGTTCCAGGAAGAGACCTGTCTCTTAGCCATTGTACATGTTGTTCCCTCTACCTGGAATGCCTTTTCTCCCTCACCCTTTGTCTGGTGAACGCCCACTAATTCATCTTGCAGGAATGATCTGAAGGCTGTCCTCCTGAACTCTTTCCTCGCCCCCTCCCCCCTTTTCCTTGTTTGAAACTAGCTAGAGCATTCACTTGGTTGTCTGCATTTGTCTGCTTTTAGCAGATGAACTTGAAGGCGAGGACAGGGTCTTACTTTTTTTGTTTTGCTTTTGTTTTTTGTGTTTGCTGAGGAAGATTGGCCCTGAGCTAACATCTGTTGCCAATCTTCCTCTTTTTGCTTGAGGAAGATTTGCTCTGACCTGATCCAGTCTTCCTCTGTTTTGTATGTGGGTCCCTGCCACAGCATAGCTGCCAACGAGGTCTGTGCCCAGGATCCAAACCCAGGCTACCGAAGTGAAGCCTGCCAAACTTAACCGCTAGGCCATGGGGCCCGCCCCCAGGGCCTTAGTTTTTTATCCCTAATGTCTAAAACATAAGCCTGGTGGTAAGCATTGAGTTAACCACTGCCAAGTGAATGCATGAATGGAGACTCCCACAGTCCATGTTGACTCCTGAGGAAGAGCCAAGCCTCCCGAGCTGGGCTTTCCCCTCCAACTCCTGCAGTCCTCCTCCGCCTCCCCACCCGCCTGTGCCTGCAGACGCGCGCACACTGTGAGCTGATGGAAGCCGCTCTGCCTCAGCCCCACCCCCCTGTGCTCCTCAGATCTTTCACAGAGACCATGAGCTCCCTGTCCCCTGGGAAGCCGTGGCAGACCAAGCTGAGCAGCGCAGGCCTCATCTATCTGCACTTCGGGCACAAGCTGCTGGCCCAGTTGCTGGGCACTAGTGAAGAGGACAGCATGGTGGGCACCATCTATGACAAGGTGGGGACCCAAGGACAGAGATGCCCCACACGTGCATCTCCACCAGGCCAGCTGGGAGTGGCACTCACACAGTACTCAGGACCAGGCCTCAGGTCAGGGTTCCTGGCCCTAAGCTAGCCCACCACCCTCTGCCTCAGTCTGGCTCATCTGCTCACACGGGGCTGGTTTAATCTCTCTCCTACCTCTGGCCTGGGGTGGTTGGGAGAAGTGGGTGAGGTGATATATGGGGAAGGGCTTTGAAAACCATAAAGCAGTGTTTCTCAGTCTTTTTCTTGACCTGACACACAAAAAATGATTGTTCAACAACTTGGTAATAGAGGAGGCTGCTTATGTTGGAAGCATATGGCTCAGAGGTTCTGGCTCTCCAGAGCATATCTCAGGCACCACTATAATTCACCGGAGGCACACGAGTTGGGCAGCTCGCTGGACGGGTTTAATTATGAAAATATCTTCAGGTTCCACCAGCGTCCCCTGCAGGCAGCTCAGCAGGTTCCTGCTGCTGGGGAAGGAACAGGGCTAGTGGCCCTGGCGTGCATGTCAGATCAGTGATTCTGAGGACACTTCCTTGACCCTCCTGGAAGCTCACAGCACGTCAGACTTCAGATGCAGTCAACTCTGCTTTTGGCAGATTGGCTGAGTTCACTTCTCTCAGCTTGCCTATCTTCTGCCCCCATGACACAGCATTGGTATGATCCAAAAAAGTGAAAAAATAAACGGTTAAATTGGAGCTTTTGGAAGATTGAGGTTTTAGACTGCCTGGGTCAGTTTTTTCTTCTGCCAAGGGGTTTCTAAGCAATTGAACTAAATTAGACCCAAGTTTCCACTGAGTGTCAGGTTGGGGTCCAGACCAAGAGGTGCTGGGCACAGGGGAGTTTCCTTTTCGGCTCTCCCTGAGAGCAGCACTTTTTCTCCATACCACAGACGTGTTGATATGCGGGACTATTTCGGAGGGCAATTTTGCATTAAACACTGACACCTCATATCACTTCTGCCCCCAAACTCAAGGCATCGTCCTATCATTTCTTTAGGCTCAGGAGATAGAGCAACTGCTGCTGCCACGGGGCACATCATGGGCTTCCCTGGGATCACATCCCAGCTCTTGATGTCTAGGCCAGCACTCCTCTCCCACCTGACGCGTGTGCTTGGCCAGAGCCTCCTGTACCTCTTTGACCGGGTCACCGAGTAGCCTACTCGGCCCTCTGCAGATTTACCCGCCCTCAGCTGTAGGGATCCTCGCCCACAGAGGCCTTCATGGAACCTGAGACCTTCCTTGTTCAGAAGTCAGCAGCACCTGCCCCACACATGCTGGCCTTGGCTTGGGCTTTGTGCGGTAGTAGAGTGAGGGCTGGATTAGAAATCAGGAGATCCCAAATCCAGCGCCCCTGGCACTCAGCTCTCTGACCTTAAGCAAGCTGCCAACCTCCCCAGTTCCTTTTCTCAGCCAGTTAGTGTTGAGATCCCCACCTGGCTGGCGCGAAGACTAAATGAAAGAGTGTGTATGCACATACTTTGAAACCTACAAAACTTTATGCAGATGGTAGGTACCCTTGAGCATTTCTCCTGCTGCTGCCTCAGATGTATGAGAACTTTGTGGAAGAGGTGGATGCAGTGGACAATGGGATCTCCCAGTGGGAGGAGGGAGAGCCTCGATACGCGCTGACCACCACGCTGAGTGCCCGGGTTGCTCGGCTTAACCCCACCTGGAACCAGCCCAACCAAGACACCGAGGTAAGGAGGCCCCGGGGGAAGAGACCATGAGGCATGTAAGAACCTGGGCAGAAGAAAGGAGAATGGGTGCCCTCCTCAAAGCCTAGCCACGGCAAAAGGGCCGGCGGCATGCTTCTGATTCTCACGTGATTCCCAGGCCGGCTTCAAGCGTGCAATGGATCTGGTCCGAGAGGAGTTTCTGCAGAGACTAGACTTCTACCAGCACAGCTGGCTGCCAGCCCGCACCTTGGTGGAAGAGGCCCTGGCCCAGCGATTCCAGGTACAGGCCCGGGAGGAGGCACTGTGGCTCAGGGACTAGTGACTGCTGGCAGGCTGATGGTCAACAGGGGCTCCTCCTTCTACCTGAAACCTAGCCATGCCCCGCTTCCCTTTCAGGTGGACCCAAGTGGGGAGATAGTAGAACTGGCAAAAGGTGGATGCCCCTGGAAGGAGCACCTCTACCACCTGGAATCTGGGCTGTCACCCCCAGTGACCATCGCCTTTGTCACCTACACTGACCAGGCCGGACAGTGGCGGGTACAGTGTGTGCCCAAGGAGCCCCATTCATTCCAGAGCAGGTGAGGCCCTAGGGGACCACCCTGCAGACCTTCAGGCCTGTTTCAGCCCTATCCCAGAAGGCCACTAACCTTGGCTCTTCTCTGCTTCCTCTCTCACTTCTTTGACACCTCCATTTGCTCCCACCAACTTCCTCTTTCTGCTCACTTGTAGGCTGCCCCTGCCAGAGCCATGGCGGGGTCTCCGGGATGAGGCCTTGGACCAAGTCAGTGGGATTCCTGGCTGCGTCTTTGTCCATGCCAGCGGCTTCATTGGTGGGCACCGCACCCGAGAGGGTGCCTTGAGCATGGCCCGTGCCACCTTGGCCCAGAGACCAGCGCCTATGCCTCCCACAACTCCCCTAGTCCAATAAAATCTCTTCCATCTCACACTTACCAAGTCCTTGCCCCATTCTGGGAATCAGCTGAAACTCGGGAAAAGTGAAACATCTATTACATGCCAGAGCCTAGACTGGGTCTTTGCTCAGCTTTGCTTTATAAATCATTTGAAATTCACAAGAAGGGACTAAAAAGTGACCGAGCCAAGATCTTAACCCAAAGCTCATGCCTTTTTTTCCCCTCACTATACCCCCACCCCTGGAAAAGACAGTCTTGTAAGTGAGTGGAAAGCCAGGAAGACATTTTTATTATTAGAAGTGGGAGTGAGGGGAGTGGGGCTGAGTAGGCGGTGGCCCTGGGAGAGGGTCCCAAGGGGCAGAGATTGGGGATGTCTCAGTAAAGAGGGGCCGATCATGCATAGAGCCTCCGCCCCCAGCTGGGGGCTCTTGGGTTCGGCCAAGCGCGGGGCTAAAACGTGGAAACTGGGCGTTGACAAAGTACAGAGGGATGTGGGCAATTCGGCCTGTGGACCAGCACTGCAGAGGACGGAAAGAAAAGTTGATCAGAGCCTAAGCCCAAAGAAGGCCACATGGCAGAGCTGTTCCACAGCCACGGCTGTCAGCTCCTCCAGCCCACTCCCGAAAACCTCAGCAGCCTGGCCTACGCACCACACTGAGCAGAGCCCCTTTGTTGAAGGAAGGATGGAAAGTGATGAGCTGGGCCTGGGCTCCTGGCTCCCCCTGGATAATGCCACTAGGGGAAGAAGAAAAGGTGAACAGGCCCCTGGAGGCAGAAGGCAGGTGTAGTGGGATGCGGGTTTGGAGTGGGAGGGCCAGACCTAATGGCTGCCCAGCACCTACCAAGGAAGTAGCTCAAACACGGGGCTGTTCCGAGTCCGAAAAAGGAGGATGACTGGTTTACCATCCTGGACCCGTGGGTTTCCTGTAAGAAAGGGATCCAGGGACAGGGAGGGACTGGAGGCGGAATCCCAGGTAGCGGCAGAGAACTGCAGCCAGCACACAGACAACTCAGTGGGAAGATGGCTGGGGCCACGAGCCAAGTCCTCCCCCCACACCTCTTACCTTTCAGGAGCACAGCCAGACGTTCCCCGCTGGGGTCCCAGGCCATAGTGTGAGCCTCTCCCCCAAGTCTGTGGGTCAGAACAGTGGATTGGGAGGACTCAGCGTGGTCCCTCCCACTTTCCTTTCACTGCCCCTCTTTCACCCACTGAACTCACCTTCTCTCTCCATCTGGTGTCTGTATTGTTGTCTCAGACAGATCTGCCACAATCGTTGCTGACTTTGCCCCTCCAACGCGCCCCTTTCCCTCACCTGTGGATAGGGCAGAGGCTCTCAAGTACAGGAAACAGGCCTCTCACTGGTCCCCAGCCTCCCCTCCATCACAGGCGTCAACGCCTCTCATGTCTCCCAAGCTTCACTTCCCTTTTTCCTGCAGAGCAGCATATTCCAGAGGGTTCCTGCCCCCTCTGACTACCTCAGATATTCTGCGTTCCGAAGTGTTTCCCTAACTCACCACGTTCTGGGAATGACAGGGAGTAAATCAGTGGTTCCCCCAGTACAGTGAACAGCAGTCGGTTTCCATCTGGGCTCCAGCAGCCAGTCTGGGGTCAGGGAGCAAAAGGAGGGGAGGGGTGGTCTATAGGGCAATGTAGGAGGAAAAGAAGTAGAGGAGGTGGGGAAACAGCTTTGGGACCCGGGGCCCACCTCCTCCCCAGCTTCTGTGCATCAGTCCCTTCTTACCTGACAGCGCCCTGATAGAGTAGGCCACCTCTCACAAGTCCACATCTGGGCCTCCCAGACTCTGTGCCAGAAAGAGGCCAGTCACAGCTTAGGACCTCTAGGTTCCAAAGCTTGGACGTACCTGCCTCTGTCAGTCCCAGGGCCAGGTCAAAGAATGGGAACGGGGACAAGGGTTCTGGCTGCTCGAAGTTCCCGGAGCCACCTGCCTTTCTCTAGGTCGTTCTTACCCTCCCTCTGCCCTCCTCCCACTCACCGAAAGACAGCTGAAGGAGTGGTAGCCAGGACTTTGCTGCCATCCGGGGACCAGAGCAGGTTGGTAACCCCACCTCCCCGAAACCAGGGAAGGGGCACACAGGTCTCTGTTGAGACATCCCATACCTAGGAGAGTCACAGCAAGAGAGTGAGACCGAGGAAACCACGGCATTCCTGTTGTCTCACCGGGGGCGCCCTTCTAGAAAGGGGAGGAAGCGGGAGACGGACTATTACAAGAGGAGGATCTATGTTGAGCAACACAGCAGGCCGAATTTTAAATCTGAGGAGTCTGGATGGCACAGCTCCTTCCCTGGGCAAGTTTAAGACTGAAGGACAATCATCCCTTCCCTCCTCCCAAAATGTTTCCCACCACCAGGTGAAGAGTGCTCCTCCCCCAAGTCGGGGGCGGGGGGACCAACTCACCAGGACTGCAGCATCCACAGGGGAGGCTGAGAGCAGCCGCCCGCCACTGGGGGCCCAGGCCAAGCTGGTGACAGGTGTGTGCCCAGGGTGGGAGAGCACTTGGGCACAGCCAGAGGAGGGTCTGCCACGGGGAAATGATGTGGAGTCAGAAGACGACAAGAGAAAAGCCCCATGATTCTGTTTTCTTGCCTCCTGCTAAAACTTCCAAATCCCAATGGCCCCTCTGAGCTCAAATCCAGGCTGGGGAAAACGAATAGGATGATGGAAGTTAAAGGAAAAAAAATAGAATAAGGAAGGAAGGGTGACATCACCACCAGTAGGCCCACAGAGGAGAATGGGTGAGGAGTAAGCTGTGACTGTGGCCTCAGGGAGACAAACTTCTGACCAGGAAAGCTGGAAGGTGCTGAGCCGGGGTGATGTCATGCTCCTCCCAGACAAGAGCCCACAGGACTATCCAGCATGGGGCCCGGGACAATCCTTGACATTACCTCAAGGTTCCAATCTCTTCTCTTTCCAGAGTTATCTGCCACTCCCCAGAACCCATCCTGTACTCCCAAACCTGTCTTTCTTCCTGTCCTTGTCAGAATTAGTCTCCCTCCTCTGTGATCCCTCATTGTTTTCTGCCTGTCATAAAGATGCTGCACGTGGGCCAAACTCCATCACTAGGCTGGGAACTCCAAGGGCACGAGCTTTGTCTTACTCAGCTTGGTATCTCCAGATCCACATACCTGGCCTGACAGGTATGGCTCCTGCCTGAATTGACACCGCCCTCTCCCTTTTCCACCTAACTATAACTCTTAGCTCCAAAGAGGCCTTAGGTCACCAATCTATAACTACTACTTCTTTTTTTTTTTTAAAAAAGATTGGCACCTGAGCTAACATCTGTTGCCAATCTTCCTTTTTTTCTTCTTCTTCTTCTCATCAAAGCCCCCAGTACACAGTTGTATATTCTAATTGTAGGTCCCCCTGGTTGTGCTATGTGGGATGCTGCCTCAGTGTGGCTTGATGAACAGTGCCATGTTCATGCCCAGGATCCGAACCAGTGAAACGCTGGGCTGCCAAAGCGGAGCACGCAAACCCAACCATTCAGCCACAGGGCCAGCCTCAAGGTTTTTTTTTTTTTTTTTTTTTGAGGAAGATTAGCCCTGAGCTAACTACTGCCAATCCTTCTCTTTTTGCTGAGGAAGACAGGCCCTGAGCTAACATCCATGCCCATCTTCCTCTACTTTATACATGGGATCCCTGCCACAGCATGGCTTTTGCCAAGCAGTGCCATGTCCACACCTGGGATCTGAACCAGCGAACCCTGGGCCACCGAGAAGTGGAACGTGCAAACTTTAACTGCTATGCCACCGGGCTGGCCCCAAGATTTTTTTTTTAAATATGCTTTTTGACTTTATTTGCTAAAATTTTATTTAGGATTTTAAAATCTATGCTCAAATAGTTTCTTTCTTATACTACCTATTGTCAGGCTTCAGGTTTTAGGATTACATTAGATTCATAAAAATAAATCGGGATGGGGCCTGGCTCCATGGCTGAGTGGTTAAGGTTGCGCATGCTCTGCTTCAGCAGCCCGGGTTTGCAGGTTCGGATCCTGAGCATGGACCTACTCCACTCACCAGCCATGCTGTAGTGGTGGCCCACATACAAAAAAAGAGAGGAAGATTGGCACAGATGTTAGCTCAGGGCTAACATTCCTCAGCAAAAAAATAAATAAGGATGGATCCTGAGACAGAAAGAAGACATTAGTGGAAAAACTGGTGAAATCTGAACAAAGTCTGGAGTTTAGTTCATAACAATGTAACATGGGAATATAAGATGTTAACAGCGGGGGAAACGGTGAAGTATAGCAAAACTGTACTACCTTTGTAACTTCTCTAAAAATCTAAAGTTATGCCAAAATAAAGTTTATTAAAAGGAAAAAAATAAATCAGGAGGCTTTCCAAATTTATCTATGATCTGGATTAGTTTAACACAGAGATTACCCTTCCTTTGACAATTAGATGGAACCCTCAGAAAACCACCTCAGCCTGGCATCTTTTTAGTGGTGGGGCTCATCCCTTCTAATTTCTTCTACAATCTTTGGTAACTTATACTTTGCTAGAAAATCAAACATTTTTCTTTAGATTTTCAAATTTGTTGGTCTAAGCTTGTATAATATTCTCTAATAATTCTTCTATTTTCTTCCATATCTGTGGTTCTCTCTCCATTCCCACTGTGAAAATAGTGTACTTTGATTTTCTCTTTTCTTAGTAAGACTGGCCAAAAGGTTTTCTTCTTTACTCATAATTTAAAGAACCAGTTTCTGGTTTTATATTTAGTTAGTTCTCGTGGGGATTCTTTCTCCAGTTTCACTGGTTTCAGCCTATATCCCTGTGGACTCTCTTCTTCCTTCCTTTAAACCTACCTCTGACAGTCTTCTGAAAGAGACAGTCTTCCCACCCCATGACCCATAGATACACACTCCCCACAGCTCCAGAAGCCCCTAGCTCTGTCCCTTCTCTAGATCTGAGCATCCTCAGCACCTCCACCTTGACCTTAGGTCTGCTTCTCTCTCAGCCCTGGGATGTGCTATGGGAACAAAGAACTTCTCCTTCCAGGCCCCCTCACCACCCCTAACATGGCCACAACCCTCAGGCCAACGTAGGACAGAGGCTGCTGGGACTCACCGGGTAGACAAGGAGGTGGGATCCAGGGTCCAGATGAGAATGCAGCTTTGGCAGGCCACAGCTAAGACGGAGGCACTGAGGGGCTTCCAGGCCAGAGCCGCCACATTTCGCTGCAGCCGGTGCTTCAGGGAGGGGACTGTAGTGCTGGGGGAAAGGGTAGGGGGCTGAGTCAAAGCAGGGGCACTCGGGCTCAGGGGACCCGAGAAGGGAAATCCACAGAGAAGAAAGCTGATCCTCCAGGGCCCAGGGGTATTGTGCGACAGGAGGACAGGATAAAAGTTAGATCTGGAAAGAGGACACATCCAGTTGTGGAGCCTCCCTGACCCCAGTTCTGGAAGGAGCCCTGTGGACCATGCCCCAGCACTGCAGGTCTCCCCTGGGACTACAGCTGGAGCGGGAAGGGGAGACTGAAGAGTGAGACCCTGCCCAGCACACCCTCACATACCTGTTGGCATTATACACACGGATTGAGTCATCTAGCAGGGCCACCGCAAATTTGTTGGTGTGGGGGTGCCACGCAAAGACCCGCAAGCAGCAGCTGGACCTGGGGCGGGAGTGAGCATGAAGACTTTGAACCTGCACATACCCAGAGCCCAGCCCAGAAGCTCAGATTCCCTTTCACATTATTGTTTTGAATTTTTTCTTTTATTTTTTGGGGGGGACGTAGAAGGAGTGAGAATGAGGTGAGGAGAGCAGTCAGGAAAGGGGTGGGAGGAGTCTCTGTCTTGACTTCCCTTTCCCCAAAAGAAGCTCCAAGGTTCAGGGCTTCCTTCCCACAAAAGCCCCAGAGCTTTTACACCCACCAGTTTGTGACTTGGGAAAATTCGGCAATCAGATCTTCGCTCCTGAGCTGTAAGAACAAAGTGGAAAGAAGACGCCCTGGGACAAAGGGAGCTTATCCCCTTAATGTTCCCACAGGGGAGCTGGACGACTCCCACCCTCTGCGGTCTTCCCACCCTACCCTGACTTTAAGGGATAGGAAGTGGAGAGGGGATGGGGGTGGGGGAGTGGCAGCCGGGGAGGGCCAGGGGAGGAAGCCAAACTTACAGAGAGATGGGGGAACAGGGACCCATGGAGGGAGGAGGCCCATCGACAGAGGGCCAGGGCCCAGCTGGACGCCGTCTTCACCCACTCAAACACTGTGGGGTTGAGGAAGCAGCTCTAATTAAACCATTCACAGGGCTCTCCCTGGGCACCCTCTGAGGTGAAGGAGGAGCTCTCCCCAGGTCCTTCTGCCCAACGAGTGCTCTGGACACCCACTCTGGGGTATGTGGGGTAGGCAGAGGGAGAAGAGAAGATGGCACCAGCATAGACAACTGGGCCAGGAAAAACAGGGCTAAAGGGAAAGGGCCTGGGCCATCAGGGATTGGGATGAGTCAGGGGGAATGCGGACGGGAGATGCCAACCACAAAACTAGGGAAGGCTGGAGGGAAAACACTCACCCTCCTCCTCCGAGTTTGCAATTTCATTCAGCACTCCAAAAAGGCCCACATCACGCCTGGTGAGGAGAGGAAGCTGTGCGTCAGACTCCTCCGCTCCCTCAGTCTCCCCTACAAGTCATTCATTCATGCATTCATCCATTCATCCAGTAAACATGTATTAGAAAGAAGAGCACTCACATTTAATGAGAGGCAACTGTGGGCCATGCACTTGATATGCTGTCCTTTCATTTGATTATCTTACAAAATGGACAACCTGCCCATTTTACCACTGAGGCAACTAAGGCTCAGAGGTCTCTCAGGACTCTGTAAGCGGGTCAAGCAGTCAAGAATTGCCTAAGATAGTGAATGGAAGGATCTTAAGCAGAGGAATACATTGATCACACTGGCATTTTAGAAAGATCACTCTGGCTGCAGGTTAGAGGAGGACAAGAATGGAGAGAAGGTGGGTTAAGAGCCTCCTTCGGGAATCTAGGAAAAAGGCCAAAGTGGCCTGAACCACTGGAGATGGAGAAAAGTAGACAGATCTGAGAGCTTGAGGAAGCAGAATGGACAGGATCTGAGGCCTAATTAGACATTAGTGAGGCAAGAGTAATATCAAGGGGAACACCTAGGGCATAATTATAGCAGCTAATACCGCTTCCAGGGTGCCAGGGCGGCCAGAGGCTTCCCATGCATCATCTCAGTTAGCCGTTATCACAACCCAACAAAATAGGTGCTGTTAGCATCTGCATTTTTAGACAAGTGAACAGAGTGTGAGAAGGTTAATTATCAAGGTGGCCTAGGTAGGAAGTAGCAGAGTCAGGATTCAACCTGTCTGCCTGCCCCAGAGCCTACACTCACACCACTTGCTCCTGAATGAGCAGTAAGGCCACTCCCCGAGATGAGAAACACAAGGAAGAAGCCGGTTCGGAGAGGAAAGTGAGGAGATCGACTGTGAACACGGTGAGTGTGTGAAGCCTGTGGAATACCCAACTGAGGGTGACTGGCAGACAAGTGAACACCCAGGTGTGGAGCGTCAATCACAAGTCCAGCCCAGGACACCGACATTTAAGGGACTTCAGGAAGAGGAGAAGCAGCAGCCCAGCCAGAGAGACAGGAAGTGAGAAAGAACCCAGGATTGAATGGCTTTTCAGACAATGAATTGATGTTTAATTTCACTCACACAAAGAGACGTTCAAATTAAACTGTACTGCAATACCAAATCTTGAAGTTTGACAGCACATGCGTTGGGAAACAGACACTCTCATACACTGCTGGTAGGACTGTAAATATGTACAATTTCAACAGAAGACTCTTTGGCAAAAGCTCACGAAATAACAAATGAACACACCCTTTGAACCCAGCTACTTCATTTGCAGGAATTCATCCCACACATGACAATGATAATAATAATAGCTAACCCTTGAAGGGATTAAAATGGGCCAGGCACTGTTCTCTGAGTGTCTTACATCTGTTAACTCATTTAACCATCATTACAAGCTTGTAAGATAGGTTCCATTTTATAGATGAAGAAACTGAAGGACAAAATGATTAAGTAACTTGCCCAAGATCACACAGCTAAAAAGAGGCACAACAGAAACTGAATCCAGGCAGTATGGCTCCAGTCCTACATATGCAAAATCAATGACCTACATATAAGATTATTCACTGCAACCTTACACCTAACCTTGCTCAACTTCAGGTAAAGGCTCAGAAAATGGTAATGACATGAGGTCGGGGCAGGGAGCAGGTTCACATAAGCAAACCAGAAGCAAGGCAAGTCACTGGAGATTAAATGGAACCACTGTTGCAAAGCCTTGAGTTACAAATTTGAAAATTTGTTATGCTGAATGATGTATGGCTCTGAGCTAGAGAGAGCCCGGCAGCCCCATGCAGTAGGGGTGGTGACCTCAATTTCTCAAGGATCTGCAGACCATAGCCCAGGAGACTCTTGCCATGTCTCACCAAACGTTGATGCATCTCTTCCACACTTGCTCCCGGTGATGGATAAAGGCTGTTCTTGTGCCATGGTCCAGCCTCCCAGGGGTCTTCAGGGGATCCTTAGTCAGGTTTAGGACAGGAAGATTGATCCACTACGCCCAGAAGTGAGAGGTGTGAGTCAGCCTCTTCCCAGGTGCGGAACTCCCTGCCATCTCCAACCCATGGCTGGGCTAAGGGTAAGAGGCTCCAGGGATGTTTCCCATTTTCACAGATTTAACACTTGTGGGCCTAGGAAACAGGTCTTAGCTCTCTTATCTGTAAAACTAAAATAATACTTTATAGGGTTGCTAGGATTATTAAATCTTATAACATTTGTGGAGAACACCTGACTCAGAACCTCTTTCCTACGTAGCAAACACTCAACAAACGTCAGTTTCTCAACACCACGGAAAGAAACGCTCCAGGCTGTGCCTTCCCAGTTCTCCCAGATACCGTCCCCAACTTTCCAGTACTTCTGCACCTGCCCATCTCCTAAGTTCGCCCTCATTCTCTCCATTGCCTCTAGGCCCGCCCCACAGCTCTTCAGCATCCCTCATCCTCCAATCCCAGCCCTAAAACATTCCAGTCCCTGTATTCTTCTCCAGCCCGGGCCAGGCTGTTTCAAGTCCGCCAGTCCGTGGACAGGGACCCCGCCCCCGCCACGCTGCCTCGGTTCCCCCGTTCTCCCTGACTCCGCCCCCATGCCTATAGGGTCCCCTCCCTCCTCGCCCCGGTCACCTGGCCCCGGAAGTCGGGAGGCGGACTCTCATAGCTATTGCCTGTCACCAGCTCGTTATTGTGCTCGTATAGGGTGACTTGACCCCTAGGCGGCGGCGGAGGGAACAACCCCAGGGAGCACATCTTGCCGGTCCCGCGGACGTCCGGAGTCGGCTAAATCGCCGATCCCGCTCCTCGGACTCAGTTCCCGGGCTAGATTCGGATGCGTACGGGTAGCCGCTTGGGACAAACGGCGTCGCAAAGCCAACGGAAATGAAGGGAAGAGTAACCGAGAAGAAGGGCGCGTGCGCAGTCCCGGGACAGCTAGCCGGAGCTTCCTCGCGCGCCGCCTAGCGGCCGGAGGGGGAGGGACGCGGACAAGTCCGCAGGGCCAACCCCCAGCTAAGGGTCAGAACGGTTTTTCTTTTTTTTCTTGGGAGACTGCTGTTTTTCCCAGTTCCGAATTCCCCTACACAGTCTCCCGCTCACTCTCCCAGCGCTCGGAAAGCCCAAAATAAGCCATGTTCAGGGAAGTACCTAATTATATCCTCCCAGGACTGTGGATGGCCCAGAGGAAAATATAGCCTGTGTGACTGGCAGCTGGCTGGAGAGCCTCCGGGAGGAGGAAGTTCAGAGGGGGACCTTGGGAGAGGGATGCTGCGCCGGCCAGAACCTACGGCCCACAGGGTTGGGCGTCCTGGAAGGAAAAGTGAGAACTGTTGGAAAACAGTAACATTTCCTGAGCACTTATTAGGATAAGCGCTTGTATAATCTTTACAACAACCCCTTGAGGTGGGTACTGCTACGACACCACGAGGAAAGTGAGGCACAGAGAGATCGGAACTAAAAGTACCAAAACCAGGCATTCTGACTCCACAACAAAAGTGAAATCGATCTTACCGTAACGCCAAAGGATGGAACTAGAATGGAGACTAATACAGAGTGGGCGTTCCTATCCTTACAACTCTATGACTTTGGAAAAAATCATTGAATTCTGTGAGCCTCCGCTTTGTCACTTGCAGAGTGTCACATGGTTGTTTCCCGTACAAAATATGGAAATGAAGCCATTTAATTGTAAAGGGGCCGGCCAGGAGGCACAGTGGTTATCAGGCACTCTGCTTCGGTGGCCTGGTTCTCAGGTTCAGATCCCTGGGCGGACCTACACACTGCTCCTCAAGTCATGCTGTGGAGGCATCCCACATACAAAACAGAGGAAGACTGGCACAGACGTTAGCTCACGGCCACTCTTCCTCAAGCAAAAAGAGGAAGAGTGGCAACAGGTGTTAGCTCAGTGCCAATCTTCCTCACTAAAAAAATAAAATAAAACTGTAAATTGCTAAACAGATATCAGTGAACTGGGTGTCCTTGGGCATGGGCTCATTCATTTAACAAATGTTAATGAGCAATTCCAAGGACCATCCGCTGGGCACACAGAAATGTGTGAGGCATAGTCCCCACTCCCAAGAGCTGCCAGTCTCACTGGAGAATCTAGGGGGTATTCTAGTTTAGCATTTTTAGCTTCTGTGCCTGCCCCTCTGTTCTACATGAAAAATTCCCCCAAGAGATTTATTCCCTGGTCAGAAAACAAGGGGCTCCAGAACGTTAATAGACATAGCACTCACCTGAGAATCTTGCTAAAATGCAGATTCTGGCCTAGCGCTCTGAAGCTGTCTTTCCAAAAAGCCCCCAGGTGACACCCCACAGACCACACACTGAATAGCCCTCACTTAATTTTCGGGATTAGTTCACAGTCCCCTGGGAAGTCACAGAAAGCTTAAAGAGTGTAGTGTAAAAACGGGGGGTTGTTTGGGGAAACGCTGGGAACGCTCCTGCTGAAGGGGGAAGCAGCACCGGTTTGAGGACAAAGAGGGAGTGTGTGACTCTGACAGATGAGTGGCAGCGCCAAGAACCCATGGACACTGTTGTTTGTACGGCCATAATGACACCAGCCAACCCCAGACACCCTGAAGAAATCACTGCAGCCTGGGCCTGCAGCCTCCACCTCCCTTCCCTGGAGCCTGATTTTCACCAACAGGTTGTGTGATCATTGTCGGGTAGGTGCCTGCCTCTTACCCTGTAGAGTGAACTGGAGAGAAGGAAGGTGCTACGCGCATCCGTCTTCAGCCACCGCCTCCCCACTACTGCTTAGTTCACGTGTGTTGAAGGGTTTTCACGATTTGCAGATTCTCGGGAGGCAGAAGTCCAGGCCTAGCGCACTCCCCACCAACTTCACCAGGGGGCGCGGCGGCCCCGGCGACACAGCGACGGTGACCCGCCGCCCCCGGGGCTCAGAGAGCTTAGCGGGCGGTCTCCACGGGCCCCTCCCTCCGACCTGGGCGGGAAACCGAGGCAGTGCCGCGGCCGCTGCCCAAGATTTCTAAAACGGGCCCCCACTTTCGGAGGCGGGAGGCCTCGCCAGAGCCTGGGTGCCTGGAGCTCGGCCCGCCGCCCTTCCCGGGCGCCCCGGCCCGGGGCTGGTAACTAGGCGCACATGGCCGGCCCGGCCCTGTTTGTCCTGGCAGCGCGCCGCCGCTATTTGAGGCGGTTTTTATCTCCCAGAAACCAGCAAAACCCCAAGCGGAGTCGAGGGAAGATGAAAGGGGCCGAGGGGCCGGGGAGGGGAGGACCGCGAGGCTGCGGCGGGCGGGAGCTGGCACCGGACAGGCGGAGACCCGGCGGCGAGAGGGCTGGGCCCTGGGGGGTCCCGAGGAGCCGGCCCGCGAGGTGGGGGCGGGAGCCGGGGGTCCGCCACGGGCTGCCCCCTCGCGCAGACCCGCCCGGGCACCCCGCCCCCCTGCGCCCAACGCCCTGGCGGTGGGCTCCCCTCCGCGGCCCCCAGCCCGCGGGAAAGTCCTCGGAACCCGGATTTCTTCAAAGGGCCTTTGAAGCCGCGCCCCGCAGGAGGCCAGGCGACTTCGCACCTGGCCGGGGGCGGGCGAGGCGGCGGCGTGGGGAGGGGGCCGCCCGAGCCCGCCCTCCCGCCCGCCCCAGCGCTGCTGCTCCTCTCCCGAGCCCGCGAGAGGCGGGCCGGCCGGGGCGCGCCCTGCAGTCGGGCCCGGGGCAGCGGGCGGGGGCAGCGGCCGGTGCGCCCCCTTAGTCCGGCGGGGGAGCCCTGGGGGGCGGGGGCCACACAAAGCCCTATTGTGGCTCGGGGACGGCCGCCACAGAGTGGCTTTTGTTCCTCCGCTAACTCCGTGGCGGGCACGACTGATTGCAGGCCCGGGGCAGGGGGCGGGGTGCGTGCCAGGCCGGGTCCGCCCGCCGGGAGCCGCGCATGGCCCGGGGCGCCGCGAGCGCGGGGCGGCGCGCAGGCAGGTCACTGCCCCGGCGGGGTCGGTGGGTGCAGAGTCCCGGGAAGAGCCGGGCAGGAAACCGCTCGGCCCTCCCAGCTCTGCAGAGCGCCCCGGGCGGTCAGCGACTGAGCTCCGCCCGAGGGCCCTGCCGAGGAAGTCTTCGACCGCGGGCGTAACGGGCCAACGTGCATAATAGAATGCCCGTGGGGAGTCCCCAGTTTGCCAAGGAAAAACCTGTGGCTCACCCTTCTTTTCCCCCTTTCTCACCAGGACAAAATTTAAAATCGAACTTTTATTTATTAAATTAAAAAAAAAAAAAGACTCCATGAGGGCGCGATCCCTTCCCTTTCCACAATATGACCCCCTTCCCAAGCTCCGGCGGCTTTCACCCTTGAACTCGGGGCCTTAAGGGGAGCAGGAGATAGAAAAGGAGGATCCGAAGTCACAGGAAAGGCATTCAAAGGCACGAAGCGGCTTTAAAAGTCACTGGAGGTGGAGTTGGGAGCATCGGAAGTCCCAGGTTGGGGGCCTGTGGACGCACCCCCAAATCAGCTTGGGGACCTCTGTCCGCCTAGCTCTATCAATTCTTCCTTCTCATGGCTTCCAGGCACCAGCCTAGCACAGTGCCCTGCACAGAGGAGGCACTGAATAAATACTTGATTTATTTGAATCTGATCCCAGAGAAAGCCTTCCCCACCTATTCTTCAGGAGAGGCACCGCCAAACCAATGTCCTCCTCTTGGTAGGTGGGCTTCCCCAAAGAGCATGTCTAAGATGGCAGCTGCAACTCTCCATAACCACGGCAACAAGGGAGGAGCCTGAGGGGGTCATGGTGTCAGGGGTGGGGCAGTGGAAGAACCTGCTCTGGGGTCAGGGGAGCTGGGGTACATTCCAGTCCTCCCCTCCATAGGACTTGAGGTTTCACAGCTTCTGGCTGGGGCTGGGAATATTAGGGATCTCCTAACTGAGAGATACCCCATCAATTCTTTAACAGATCCTGCTAGTCAGTCCTATTAGCAGAGATCCCATTAAAAGAGAAACCCCATTAACCGAGACCCTGACGATAGAAATTCTATTAACATGATCTCCACTAACACTTTTTCTCTACAGAGATGCACTTGGCTAAAAGTTCCATAGCAGAAATGGACCTCTTTCCCTCCCCAGCTCACTCTACCTGACCTGTCATCATAACTTAGATAAATAGAATTATTATTATTACTATTCATTTCTCTTGGAACATAGGGGTTAAATATACAGGCCTGGGGGCAGCCTCCCTGACCCTGGGGTCACCCCATCTTTGGGATCAGATCCCCACTGGTCTGCCCCGCTCTTGGCACCCTGCTTCCTGCCAGGTCACTAGCCCCAATCCCCCTAACTCTGGTCCCTAATGAAGAGGCCACCAGGGGGCAATAAATTATCATCATCATCATCATTGTGTTTGTAAAAAGGAAGAACGCTCCGGAGCGCGGAAAGCAGTGGAATAAGAAGTTGAGAAGACTGGAGCCTGGAAGCTAAGGGATAGCGGTAAATAAGCTTGGGAAGCAGAAAGGATGCAAGTCAAGGAGTTAGTGAGATGGAGGAACAAAGTGTTGGGAGCCCAAATGGAAGGAAAGTGAGTTGATGTGGTGAGAGGAGAGAGAGAGGCTGTGAGCAAGGGCGAGGAAGCCAGAGTGCAGAAATCAGGCACAAGGTAGAGGGCCTGAGATGAGCGTTTGCAGAACAGGCTCATGGCCTGGGGAGGAGGTGGGCTGAGGAGGCAAGCAGGGTGATTCCCAAGCCCAGAATGGCCAGAGGAGAGACAGAGAGATCCCCAAAGGGCAGCATGCACAGGACAAAGGGAGTGAGGGGCAAGCAGTGGTCCACGAAGCCAGGAGAGGCTGGCAAGACAGCCCTGGGGCTGGAGACTCTCCACCCAGCTCAGATCTCAAGCAGGTTGCTCTGCTCCGGGCTGCCTCCAGGGGCTTTCTCTGGGGGTGCCGGCGAGGCTGAAGGTCGGGGCGTCTGACTGGCCTCCTCTTCCCCCGCACTGCGGCCCTCCCCCAGCTCCTTGGGGCCGCTGGGAGGTGGGCCTGGGCCTGGCTCGCCATGGGTGCGTTGGTGCTTGCTCAGGTGGTCGCTCCGGGTAAAGCGCTTGGAGCAGAGCAGACAGGTGAACTTCTTCTCCCGGGTGTGAGTGCGCACGTGGCGCTCCAGCTCGTCCGAACGCGTGAACCTCTTGCCGCAGAAGAGCCAGTTGCAGACGAAAGGCCTCTCGCCCGTGTGCCAGCGCAAGTGGGCCTTCAGGTGGGAGGCCTTGCCGTACACCTTGCCGCAGCCGGGAATGTGGCAGCTGTGAATGGGCTTCTTCCGCAGCCCGGCTGCGGCTGCCCCCAGGCGCTCCAGCTCTTGGCAGTTGGGGCAGTCGCAGGAGGAGCGCCCTGCTCCACTGCCCCCATATCCACCACTGCCCCCTGTGCCTGCGCCCCGGGGGGGCTTGGCTCCACCACTGCCCTCCAACTGCCCACTGTTGCCCACTGCCTTGGGTTTATAGACGTCTTGGGGCAGGACATGCTGTGGCCCTGGTTGCAGGAGGTGGGGAGCTGGGTAGGGAGCTGGATTAAGGGGGGCAAAGTCAGATGGGTAGGTGGGCAGCTGGGGGTTCAATGGAGGCTGAGCAGGGCCTGTAGGCAGTGTCCCTTGCAGCCCATCCCCCTGGCCCTGCCCACCGCCTAGCCAGTTGCCCCCAGGGTGCATGTCCCACCAAGGTGTGGGAGCATTGCCTGGGCCTGGTGAGATGCCTGCATGGATCCCTGCCTTGTACCAGGAGCCGTAGGGGTGTGCCATGTCCAGAGAGGTGTAGACACTGGGCAGGCAGTCAGAAGAGCTGTGCCCCTTGGGCACTAGTAGCCCAGGGTCCTGGGTGCCCGTGGGCCCAGGGAATGAGTGAGAAAAGGGAGGGTAGTCATTGGCATAGCCCGAGGTGGGTGCTGGAGGACTGCCTGCTGGTGAGAGGAGGCCATTGGTGCTTGAAAAGGGGGCTGGGTAGGCATCCCCCATGGTTTTGGGGGCTGAAAGGTCACTGCCCACAGAGTAGGGCTTCTTTGTGCCTGCTTTGCCCAGTGTCGTTGAGTCCCGCAGAGGGCTGGAGCCACCAAATTTGCTGCACGCTGCTGTTAGCATGGCCAGGGGACTGGAGCCATAGTGAGCTTCCTCCTGTGGAGAGACAGGGGCACTGCTTAAGGGGAGGGAGAAAGTGCTGGAAGAAGGGCCAACTCTAGGACTGCGACCTGGAGACATGGAGAACAGAACAAAGGGGTCAGGGAAGAGTCGAAGACAATGGGGAACAGGGGTAAGAGGGGGCCAGTGAGGCCTGGGACCCAGGGCAGAGCTCAGATGGAGTCGCTGAAGGGAAGCAGAGGCCCAAGACAGCAGCCTAACACCCCAACCCAGGAGGCGGGAAGCTGAGCTCACTGTGGAGCTGTTGGGTGTGTGCAAGGGCCTCCGAGGGCTATTTCTTAAGTAGTGGAGAGAGGAGCTGGGGCTGCAGGCAGCACCTGGATGAGGTGAGACTTAGGGATCCTGACCTCTGGAAGTGGGTGCAGAGCAGAGGCCATGGTCAGGGACGTGGAGAGGAAAGATGAGGCTCAAAGAGCAGCTTGGGGAGAAGGTGCGGTATTAGGGACTGTGGTTGCCCCCATTCCAGATTTTCCCAGCTTTACCCCGTATTCCACTTCCTGTCTCCACTTCATCTCCTGACTAAGGCAGTGGCCTAGCCTCCCCGAGGCCTCGTCCTCATGTCCTTGGTAAGGAATCTCTTGGCAGGGACTCGGGCTGGGGAGCAAGAGGAAGCAACGGCAGAGACACTGGGACATTGAGAGGGAAAAAGGCTGCCGCCAAGCCAGGACTGTGGCTCAGGCAAGAATGTCTTTCAAGCGGGCAGTGGGCACCTCCTGCTTTACGGAGCCTCTGGGAGGGCGGGAAGAGCCCGAAGTCCTCGTACCCCTCCAGGGCAGGGAATTGGGGTGGCTAAGATACTGGCTCCCAGGCACACCCCTCTGTGCCTCAGTGTCCCCTAACACGTAGCCCACATCACTGGTCTCTATTCACCCTTCCAGCACAGTGAGTGAAGGAAGACAGGTAGATGCAGGCATGGGGATATTTTAGAAACATAAAATGCCCCTAATGACCATCGTGCTACCAGGTCGAACCACCCTGACATTACTATCCCTCAGGAGCTCATGGTACCCCTACCTGGGTCAGCCTCGGGACATCACAGGAAGAGATGCCCTCCAGAATCTCCGGCTGGCATAGACAGGCATCCATTACTGAGAATCCCACCAAAAAACGTGCCGTCAAAAGCTGACCCTGTACATTTCCTTGACTGGGGTCCTCAAAAGCCGATGTACCTTGTGCCTTCCCCATGAAGCTGAAAAGGAACCCAAGAGTCCAGAGTTCCCAGCCCTCCCCTCTAGCTCCTAGCATGCAGTATGTGTGTGTGACAGCAATGCTAGAGGTTGCCGCAGTGGGGGGCGTGAGCTGTCGTCTCCACTTCTGCACTGCTCCCCCTGCCCAGTCACCTCTCTCAGTCCTGTTGACCCCATGCACTCCCAAATTTTGAACCACCAAAAGCTTTCTCAAATCTGGCCCTGAGTCCTTCCCCGGAGCTCAGATCTCCCAAGCAGAGGGTAGGCTGAGGCAGGGCAGCCCCACAGGAGTCAGATCCGGGCCGAAAGCAGAAGGAGAAATGTAGAGTGCGAAGGAGAGAGGCTAAGCCCCAGAGACACGGGGAGCAAAGGACCCTGCACAGGGTGAGGACCTGACACAAAGCCCCCATGGGTGTGGAAAGGGGGAACAGAGGGGCACAGTGGCATTAGGGGGTGAAATGGTCAGGGACCCAAAAGAGCAGGAAGGTAAAAAGACAAAAGGAAGGGAGGGAGAGGGAGGAAAGCAGAATAAACAAAGAAAGAGAGGTGATGGAGAGTGACTGGGCTAGGAAGCCAAAGGAAAACAGAGAGGAAAGGAGAGGAGGAAGAAGAAAGAAGGGGGGGAGGAGGAGGAGGAGGAAGGCAGATTCCTACCTAAGCTCAAAGCACCACGGTGCTGGGCCCCAGAAAACCCCCAGACCAGGCCGCTCCTCCCTCCTTCTCCCCTGACCGCCCCCTCCCCCTCTGCCCAGCCCGGCCCTGCTCGGCTCCGCTGGTTTCCCTGCGGTCGGTTTATTTTTAAAAACGCCGACGCCGTCCCCCCGCCCGGCCCTCACACTGTGGCCACAGGGGCCTCAGCCAAGCCCAGGGACCCCACCCAGCTGTGGGGAGGGAGGGAGAGGTGAAGGAAAGCAAGCAGCCCCAGGACAACAGGAGACCCCAGCCCTGGGGAGCTGAGGCCCCCAGGGGCCCTGTGGCCAGGGAAGGGGGTGCAAGGCACCAGACCCTCTCAGATGACGGTCTGGAGGCCAAAAGCTGGGGGCCCTGGGGCTAAGTCTCACCACAGCCTCAGTTTCCTTCTCTTGTCTTGAGAACTGGGGAGAGGGTCCGGGTTCAGAGTTCTAAAGATGTCCCCCATACCTGATCAAATGTATTACCTGGGGGGAACAGGACACCCAGGAGTCCCACCTTCTGGCTGTTTTTCCCCTTGCCTCCACCCCACCATCCATTAAAAACAACAAAAACCAGGCTGGAGGGGGAGTATCTGGAGAAGGGCCGAGCTAAGGAGCTGTCCCAGAGCGCTCACCCAGAGGTGCAGCCGGGATGGGAGCCCCCTCTTTCCAGGGAGCTCACTTGCCCAGCTGACCTCCCACTGGAAAGCTCACTATACATCCAAGGGCTGATGGTAGGGGGCTCTGAGCACCCCAGGTCCCAGTTTCCAGTTCTCCATGTTTTTGGCCTCCTCCCAAGTTGTTCAGTTCTCCCAACTTCCAGTTCCCCATCCCCACCCAGCCCCCACCCCTTGTCCCCCTGTGTCATCTCACTCAGCCCAGGTGAGCCTCCCATCAAGCAGCAGCTGCTTCCCCCTCTGAACCCCCAACTTCTTCCCACTGCCGGAGAGCCCACCCATACCAGGCCAAGGGCTTCCTGGTGGTGGACAGGGGAAGAGGGAAAGTTGAGGGCCCAGGTACCCAAAAAACAGGAGGAAGAGACAGAGGAAGTGGAATGCCCCTGTGCTGGGGCAGCTCCAGCTCACAGGGACTGAGGGACGTGAAGATCCAGTTTCCACGACACACTGTCTTGCCAAGCGCTACCCCAATCCTGTGTCTTTCCAGCAGGCCTCTGGGCCAGCCCCTCCCCCAGGCACCAGTGCCACGCTGGCCACTCTGGCATGATGCCCATGCCCACTGACACTGCCCCTGCCCTGGGTGGACCCAGGATTTCCATGCACCTTGGTCCTCTAGCTTCCTCAAGACCAACCACAGTGTTTCAATGATGGCTCAATATAGAGTCTAGTAGGGAGATGGCAGGGTGAGCAATCTCCCCTCAGGGGAGTAGAACACAACACCTGGGGACCCCTGACTGGGTCCAGAGCAGTGACAAAGGGCCTGGTGTCTATCCCATTGGCTTGCATGCCATTCCCTCGAACTTGGTCACAAACTCACTATCGCCTAGTTTTACACACACCATTCCTCACTTGGGCTAACAAGATCCTCAGACGGCCTGGCTTATACACACATACACCTGTGCTCTCACAGAGCCAGCCACGTGTGCAGGCGTGCTGGTTTACACTGACACTTACACTCAGGCCAATGAACACAGGCGGTGAAGGCCGCCAGCTCTGTCCCCCACACACCTTTCCCACAGGCCCATCACTCCTGGGACCTGAGCTGGGGCTCTGGGAGCCAAGATGGGAGCTTCTCAGGGGCCCAAGAATGCAGAAAGTTCAAGGCGACCGAAGGGGGTTGAGCTGAAGGGAGGGCCCTCTGGCCCCAAATTCCTGAGAGGGACCCAGAAAGCAGGACAGAGATGGTGACAGAGAAAGAGTCAGAGACCCAGAAGCAGGAGAATCAGGACATTCAAACTGGCTCTGAGTGCCCGTGAGTCCTCCGTTTCCAGCCATGCGCCTTGAGTGCCCCAGACGCCCTGGGAGAGTCAGTGATTTCTCAAGACCCCAAACTCTGACCCCCATGGTACCCTAGTTCCCTCCAGTGCCAGAGGGAAGGGATGCTGGGGTCCCAGCCTGGAGGGGAAGTGGCTCAGTCCGCCCTGGAGCCTCCCACTCCCAAAATAGAGCTGAGTTTGTCTTTGGCTGAAAGCTAAATATTTGTGAGCCGGGCAGGCGGCCTCAGACCCTGGCCCTCCTCCTTGGTTCCCTCTCAGGCCTGGGCCCAGTTCCTCTGGTCAGCCCCCCCACATGCACAGGACTGCCCTTCTGCCTTCTCTCCTAGCTCACCTCCTCTCCTGCACACACCAGCCCAGAGGCCCAGCCCCCTCCCCACCTACAAACCAGACAAGACTCTGCTGAGGCTAAGAGTTCCAGAAGAGGACCCCAAGGAACTATACCCAGATGCTGCTCTGTGCCCACTCAACCATCCTCTCACTCTCTCTCCCATCTGCTGTGCCTTATCTGTCTCCCACCCCTCTCTCCCCGCTCCCCACTCCTCTTCCTCCTTCCTCCATCCCTTTCCACTCCTCAGAGTTGGTGTGCTTGGCTGACCTTAGGGGTCCCTGCCTTCTTCTGACCTCATCCTCTCTCATCCTCCTTTGACTGCTCTCTGACCTCTGGCCCTGCTCTCTCCAACCCTTTCTCCTGCCCTCCACTACCCTCCTCTGACCCGACTCTTCTCTCTTCGGAGGGACCCCTGGAAGTGACAGGCACCACAGCAACTGTCTGTGTGAGTTTGGAGGTGGGGGGCGGGCAGAGATTAGGACCATTAAGATTGTCGCTGGTGTCCTGGGGGGAGGAGAGGGCAGTTACCTCAAGCAGGGAGGACGCCATCCTGAGGCTGGGTCCCAAGGAGCCAGGCAGATGGAGAGAGCCGAGCCGGAGAGAGAGGGAGAGGGAGAGGGAGGGAGAATGGGAGAATGGGAGAGAAGAGATCTAAAGTTAGAAGGGACTGGGGGGTGGGGGGTGGGGGGGCTGCTCTCTGTCTGTAGGGATCCACCCTCTAATTACAGCTTTCCCAGCGGAGAAGGCTCCGGATCCAATGAGCAGGGCGAGAGAGGGAGGCAGAGGGTCCAAATTTCCTGCTCCATTTGCTGAGCTCCCCAAAGAAGGGATCTGGGCGGGAGAGGAGACACAGGGCTTCCAGGGAAGGGGTGGAGGCAGGGGGTAGGGACATGGGCAAGTTGTCAGGGCGTCCTGGGGGGTGCTGACGGGAAGGGTTGAAGGGCCGGTGGGCCCAGGTGGCCCACACCCCGCACCCAGCAATCCCTTAGGCATCTGTGGGAACCCCTCCCAGAGCTCCCCAGTATCATGTACCTGGGGGATCTGGGCTGGGTGTCCTGGGTCTCTCTGGAGGTCTGGCAGTGGGAGTGCAGGCAAGGGGTGGCCTGAGGGGCCTGGGGGGCTCCGCTCCTCTCCCAGGCCAGCTCCACTCCTGTTCCCACTCAGGCTCCGATCCTACAATCCTACTCTGACTTCAGAGTCCTGGCTGCTGCTCTTCTGCTGCTGCTTCTGCTGCTGCTGCTCCTGCTGCTGCTGAGGCTGCCGCCCGCCCGCCGCTGCTGAGGGAAGGAACAGGAGGGAAAAGGAACAAACCCCAAACCACTAATTAGAGATCCAGGGGGGGGATGGGGATTGGGGACGACACTCACACAGAGAGACTGGAACACACTGACATACACACTCATGGACAAACACAGGATGAGACACGCACACATACAGACACAGTGCTACCCACGCAGGGGACAGCCACTGTCATGAATGAACACAGACAAACTCACACACAGATGAGCACGGTGACAGGGCTGGAGCACACACACCACACTCATGCCGGAGTTGACCACGGAGATGCTCGCCTCCCCAGTCACCCACCCTGAGATCAGGAGAGCAGTGTGTATGTGCGTGTGTGTGCGTGTACGTGTGTGCTGTGACAGACAGGAGGCAGGGCGTGCTCTGGGGTGGAGGCTTCGGCTGCCCAGACTTTTAGGGGCACTGAGGCAGATTCCAGAGCAAGGTCTGGAGGGAGGGGCGCAGAGTGGGGGAGGGTTTGGCACAGGCTTGGGGGTTCCCCAGGCTGCCTCCCAATGCCTCAGTTTCACTCCTAGAAGGTAACACCTAGGCCTACCTCACTCTAGGGGGCAGAATCTGGATCTTCTGATTCTGAGAAAAGGTAAGGCAGGCAGGAGTGATGGTGCAGGTACAAAGTCATTGGGTCAACTCAGTCTAGCCCCTTTGGATTAACCCCCCAAAAAGATATGCTGTAGCTTCCATCATTTTTTGCCAGTTACTATTCCTAGGCCCCTCTTCACCACAGACTGAATCTCCATCCTTTGCTGGATAGTCCTTCTTGTGAGTGATCATGCTTTCCTGGGAGGGAGCTCCTGGTTCCCTTTCTCATCGCCATGCATCAATTCCCTCTGCAGCAGGAAGAATTGAAGTTAGAGCTTAGGCAGGACTTCCCAACTTTGACTTCTCATCAAAATGGGGGAGAAGAGAAGGAAGGTCCACCAGGAGAGGAAACCCAAAAAATCTATTAACTGTAAACCTAGGCCCTGAGGTCAGTTTACAGGAGAGAGAGAACTGGGCAGCCAAGTGGTAGAACAAGCATCCCTCCCACCGTGGGGCCCACCCAGCTGAGGTTGTTTCCCCAACACTCTCCTCTCCCCATCCCAGCCCTGCCCATCAGAGGCAAGGAGCCTGTCCTTCCCCACTCTCCTCACTCCTAACACGGCCCCCTCACTTTCTCTTCCTGAGTGCCCCCTTCTCACTCCTTTGGCCCTCCCAGGTCTCCACGGGAAGTGGGGAGGAAGGAGCAGATGGAGGTCCAGGGAGGGTTAAGTGCACTTTAACCAGCAGGCGGGGTCAAAGTTCAGGGTAGGACCAGAAGTTCTTGTTCCCCCAAGGAACTCTGTGGGCCCGACTTTTGGGGAAAGGGCTAGGGAACCAGGAGGTCTGGCAGACAAAGGAAAAGAAGCCAAAGAAGAGACACAGAAAGACCAGAAAGATCAAGAGACACACAGAGTAAATGAAACAACACAAGAGAATCAGAAGAGACACTACGGGTTGTAAGAGAGCAGAGAAAACCAGAAGACCAGGTACATGGCTTTAAAAACCAGAAAGAGCAGAAAAAACTAAAAGGAAGAGAAACAAGCCCAGAGGAACAAAGATGAGGAGACAATGGCTTCGGAAGGACAGGACAGAGAAAATAGCCGGGAGGCTTGGCCAGGTCGGGAGGAGGCAGAGGGTTAAGCAGCCAGGCAGGTGGGGGGCGGGGATGGAGTATAAATAGCGCATAATTGTGTCCGATGATTACACGGGCCACCCCACCCGTCTGCCCAAGAGGAAGTGCCGGTGGTGGGGTGTCCCCGTGACCTCCTGGTCTCCCCACCGTTGGGGGGGGGCATCTGAGCCTGAGGTGCCAGATGGATTTCTGGGGGCGCCCCACTCAGAAGTTGGGAAGAAGGGGAAGCTTTGGAGAAATTACTGCACCACTAGCAGAAAAGCCTGAGACCAGTTAGGTTAGGCAGGCAACTGAGGCACAGGAGAAACGTCTAGACTCCAGACTAGAGAAGAGATGGCAGCTGAGAGAAGCGGTTGGGTCTCAAACTAGATTGGGGAAGAAAGGAAGAGACTGAAAGGGAAAAAGAGGAAGGATGAAAGGAGGTTCAAGACAGGGGCGAGGAGATGGGGGGCGGGGAGGGTCAACCTTCTCCATTTCCCTGGGGGCCTTAACCCCCAATCCTACCTGGGAAGGGCAGGAGTGCGAAGAAAGGAAAAGGGAGGAGCAGGGTCCCCAGGAAGATGTGAGCCAGGGCCCCTGATATGTCACCCCTAGTAGGATAGCCCCTGGACACGGAGCCCCCTCCCAAAGGTCTGTGCCAAAGCTAGGCAGAGGGGCTGCCTGAGCCCCCGCTCGCTACCCCCTCAGGACCCTGGGTTCTGACTTATCCACACCCTTTTTAAAGATAATCATACAGCCCAGCCGAGGCCCTGGTTTTCCTGGGTCCTGACCCCCAAACCTACCCCCAGCGCCCCCAGGGGCTGAGGGCAGCAACTGGGCGCCCTGACCAAGGACCTGCCTCCACCCTCGCAGCCCTCCCTCAGCCCAGCCTCCCAGGGGGTGGGGCAGCCCGAGCAGAGGCGCCATGTGGCAGGGGCGGGTAGAGGCTGCGGCTCTGGTCCTTCCAGTACAAACCCCCTAGGCATCTGGTTTCTATCCACCACCCCCCACCACCCTGGGGGCCCCTCAGCCTCCGCCCATGGCCACCCAGACGCTGAACTCGGAGAGATGGATGCCCCTGAAGGAAGGGGTGGGAGGGTGCCTTTCTGATCTCTCAACCCCAGGACTGGGCTGAACCACAGGGACCACTCCCTGCCCTCCCTCCCCTAGAAGAATCAGGGTGGGAGTTTCTAGGTTAGAGGAGGTTGGATCTGGAACCTGCCTTAGTTCTCTCTAACGGTTTTGGATCTTTTTTGGAAACATCAGTGGGGGTGGAGAGAGTGAAAACTGGGGAGAGCGGAGCACTTCTATCCCCCTGCTCCTCAGGGAAGCTGCATTCTGCCCACTCTCCTAGTCTGGGCTTCTTCTGGCAGCCTGAGCCAAAGGGACTCCTAACCCTTCCTTCCTTGTTGTTATAGAAGGTTCGGCTACCTTAGAATCACAAGTAAACAGCGAACACAGCCCCCGAAATACAGAGATTGACACACTCTAATACCTAATGAGGGACACACTCTCGGATATACACTTGCACACACCCTGAATTATGAACATTCATATGCTCTGTAGGCACCCACAAGGACACACGCTGATATGTATACATACACTATATAGACAATACTCACACCAAGACACTTACCCTAACCCCAATTACAAAAATGTACACACCAGTATACATACCTGCAGACAGACTCAGTCACCTAGAATACCCCCCACAGGGACTCACACAGACTCACATCAATACACACACTTATATATGTAGCAAATGTCACATACATACACCCAAGCCTATCATCACAATTTTACAGCTCTAGAGGTCCCTGATGTTCCCTAGAGGGGATTTAGGAACCCCTCTTCCTACCAGAATCTGGGGATAAGGGTGATGTGGAGGGCACTGCCAGTCTTACACATTGCTGCCTGTAACTCCTACTAGTGTAGGAACCTCCAGGGCACCTTTGGGGGACTCACTGATTCTTTACTCCCCATATCCACTAGAGTTCAGAGACCCAGATGCCCTGGCGAACTCCCTGGCCCTGGGGAACCCCGGCATCCCCACCCCCACCCAGACCCCCCCTGCTCTGCGGCCCCGCTGACTCATCTCTCCCTCTGTGGAGCTCCCCAACCACAGGGGCCTGGAAGAGAAGCCTGGAAAGTTGCGCTCATGTCCCGGGCCCCTGGTCTGGCCACTACCCCCCCCATGCACCCAGGCCTAGCCCTTGTCTCCAGTGGAGACACCAGTGACAGAGAACACAGAGGTAACAGGAAAGAAGAAGGCACCCAGAGGCAGGGAAACAAAGGGAGAGACGTAATGAAAACAGAGACGGTGGGGAAAGAGATGAGACCCTGAGGGACAGCTGCTGATCTGTAGGGTCCTCCAAAAGCAGCAGAGCTGCTGGCCAGGGAAACTCGTTCTTTGGGTGGGAGGAAGACCCACTCATGGCCTCGGGATGTGAACACTGCCCAGTGCCTCGACCTAGCATTCTGAGCCTAGGCTCCAGGAGCTTGGGGAAGAGGAGCCAATTCTGGGAGGCAAGGCTGAGGACACAGGGCAAAAAGGAAGCTTTTACGAGGCCAGCAATGTCTGTTTAGGGCAGCTTGGAAAAGGGGCTCCCCACTCCAACACAAATGTACACACGTTTACACGCACATGCGTACCTCAACTCCCACCCTCTCCGCTAGGTCCCCCCATCCCCTGTTCCAGCACCAGGGCTACAAGGCAGGACCCCTGGTGCTAGCCCTGGCTCCCCTCTGCTCTGAGCCCAGTTGCTTTAGTTGACATTTGAGCTCTGAGATAATATAGCAGTTCCAGGGGAGGCAGATCAGAATCAGAAAGAGAAGTGCTATGGGAGTGGGGAGAAGGAGGAAGGATGGCAGGGGACAAAGAAGAAAGGGAGGGACGGGGAAGACGGAGGCCTGATTCGGGGCGAGGGAGCCCGGCCTGGGTGGCGTCTCATAAGGGATCAGATTAAGACTCTGGTCCTCTCCAGGAAGGGCCTCTTTGTAGAAAAAAGTGCCCTGAAATCTGAAACATGAACTAATTAGTGTCTTCAAACAAACAGGACTTGGGGTGGTGGGGTCCTGATCACATCTCCCAGCCTTAGGAATGAACAACCCAAAGAAATGGTCCTTCAAAATCCTAGGCCACATTTCCCGCTGTCTCCGACCTTCTATGATTCTCCTTGGTAGCAAGATGTCTTGAGATGTAGAGAGGACCTGAGGAGCATTCTTTCATTCAACAAATGCTCAGCGAGCACCTACTTTGTGCCATGCCCACGGGGCTAGGCTCAGGCCTGCCCCAGTGAACAAGACAGACCCTGCCCTACGCCTCACATATCAGGAGCTATCTAAAGAGTGGGAAGTATCTTGAGACAGTAAGTACTGGTTTGGAGACAAAAGAGTGAATTTAAACCAGTGTTGGGGAACAAGGAAGACCTCCTGGGAGAAGGGATGACTAGGGAAAGAAACTGAAGGATGACTAGGAGTTAGCCAGGTGAAGTGAGGAAGAGTGTTTATAGGCGGGGGGCGAGGGTGGGGTGGGGGAAGAATATATGCAAAGGCCCAGAGGTATGAGGGATTCATAACACTTTCGAGGTGCTGAAGGTTGTGACTGGAGCACAGACAGTGGAGGCTGATGGAGAGTCTACTCACCTGGGCAAGGGATCTGAACTTGATCCTAAGGGCAACATATGGGAATATTTGTCTATTAGAAAGCTGACCCTGGCTGCAGAGAGGAGAACGGAATAGGGGCTTAGTGCTGGGCGTGCTGGGTAGATCAGCCGTTGGCTACGGTGTCAGCTTGGGCAGGCCGTTCAACCTTTGATGCCTTAGATTCTCCTTTAGTAGAGGGAAACATAAGACAGCAACCTCCAGGGTTGTTATAAGGATTAGGAATAATACATGTGGAACTCTTACCACAGTGTCTGGCACTTAGTAGCTATTCCGTAAATGGTGCCTATTAGTATTGTCGGAGTTTGGAGGGCAGAATTAGAGCTGCTGCAGTCCAGGCAAGAGGTGGGAAGATGCGGCCTGTAGCCACATCTGTAGGGGGCTGAGGAGGGGTAAAGGCAAGGTGAGATTTAGGAGGGGTCCGGCAAGGACTTGGTGCTGGCTAGAGGTGAGCAGTTAGGGAGAAGGAACAGTCGGAAGGACTCCCTTTCATCTATGGGTTTGTGTGTGCCTGGGCACCTGGGACATGCAGGTCTCTTAGAGCGACCTGTTCAATTCTGAAAACGCCCTGGACAGACGCTGCATCCGGTCAACAGATGAAGGTGCCATGCTGTGTCTGAGGACTTGGCCTCCAGCCTCCCAGGAGGACCCACACACACACTCTGCCCTAATCCCTCCTTAACTACTTCCTTTCCCCTTTTTTACCTATTCCCGCCTCTCCCCACCCCATCCTCCTCCTCTCTTCTTCTACAAAGAAAGTCCAGAGTCGGCCTAGGCCACCCTTGCCATCTTTCCTTTTTCCCCCTCCCAGGGCTAATGAGAGTCCTTGGGACTCAGCCACCACCACCATCACCTCTTCCCCACACACCCTCAATCAGACGCCCCCTCTGGATCTCAAAGCACTGCTTGACTTTTTCGGCGTTTAAGGCAAGGCGAGCGGTTAAGCTCCGGCAGGACTGGGGGTTCTCAGCCCCAGCTCCAGCTATTGCAGACAGATCGTGACGTCTGGGGCAGCGGGGAGAGGCCGAGGGCCTCCAGAGCCGTCTCTCGCAGGCTAGGCTGGGCTCAGGCCGCCGGGGACGTCACCTCCCCGCCGTGCCTCAGTGTCCCCGCGCGGCTGGCGGCAGAGGGGCGGGCCGGCCGGGGGGCGGGGCGCGGGCGGGGCGGGTTGGGCCGGGCCGGGCGCCCGGGCAGGAGGCAGCTGCATATCTGCGGTCCCGACCACAATTGCTGGGAGTCGCGTCCCGGAGACTGGCGGCGCTGACTCTGCCCGCTGCGGCCGCCGCGCCGATTAGAGCCCGAGAGGGAGCGCCAACCGGGGGAGGGGGGGAGGGCGGCGGCGCGGAGCTCCGGGCGCCCCTTTCCCCTCCGCCCCGCCAGCGCCCCCGGCTGCCCTGCCCAGTCCTCTCTCCACTGCCCGACCGGGATGGGAGTTCGGCCTCCACAGCCCTGGCTTTTTCGAGGCCTGGCTCCCAGACGTCCTCCTCTGGATCCTGCAGCGCCCGAGGTCCCGACGGCGCCAACATCCGGTGGACCCAAGACTGCCAGCCTCTCGTGCCCTTTCTCTTCCTCATCCCCTGACACAGAGAGGAGTCTGAATCTCAGGGCTCCCCCATTGCTTCATCCCCTGCTCCTCGCAAGCATTCTCCAGGCAGTAGTAATTCCAGGCGAAGAAGAGGTCAGACTGGAGAGGACAGGCATTCAGAGGCCAGAGCACCCCCTGCTGGCTGGCCCGAAGCCCCTGCCCCTCCCCCTCCAGCTGTGACCTCCAGCTGTGGTGGTTGGGAAGAGCTGGCCTCTTTGATCTAGGAGCGTGGCCACCCCCTCCAGGCGCCCCATTAACCTCCATTATCCCAATTAGGCAGCCCTCCCAGTCTTGGATCCAAGCTTCAAAGCCCCCTCAGTGGGGAGAAGAGGGGGCTGTATCCTATGCCCCCCACCCGAAGCCACATCACTTTCAGACAAGACCCAGGTGTCCTGGTCCCCAGCTTGGGTACATAAAAGGGACCCCCAGGGGCCACCCAGATCCCAATCCTTACACCTCACTAGAAAGAGAACCCGATAAGAAAAGGAGCCCTCTTTTGCTGGCTCTTGCTTTTCTTGCATTAAATGATGTAGGTAGCAGCATCCAGGTTCCTGGCTGACCTGAACTTCCCATCAGCTTATCCTGCCTTATCCCATGGAGAGGGGAGCCAAGAGCCACCCCTCCTCCCTTAATCCCATCTCAACACTCCCTTCCCCCCTCCCTTCTGGAACAATTTCCGCTGGGGGAGCCGGAGCAGGGCCCAGCACAGTGGCCGCTTCCTGGAACATTTTCCTGTATCCGAAACCGCGGCTCCCTCCCCAGGGACTGGCTGATCAAGGCCAGATGGGAGCAGGGATGGGGGAGGAGAGGGAGCTAGGCTCTCACCATCACCCCCTCCCAACACATGCACACCACAGGGAGCCCCTGCCCTGACACACAAAGGCACACACCACATGCCACAGTCACACACCCATGGGCATTCATGGCGACACTCGTGAACCACAGGGGCAGGTCTTAGAAGGAGACACACAAAGTCACATAAATACATTCAACATGCACATGGATGATCATCCTCTCTCTCCCCAGTCCCTTACCCTTCTCAAGTCTCCTTGGACCCTGGGCCTTCCTTGCCAGCTAAGGAGACCTTAGGAATCTAAGAACAAAACAGGACAGCAGGGAGGCCTCAGTTAACAGACGGTGAGGGGACAGATGGAGACATCTAAGGCAGCCTGTGTCCTGCCAGACAACACCCACCATCCCATTCCACTTCTGAATGGCTCTCAGGCCTGACTCCTCTTTCCAGGATCCTGGAAACCCAGGTAGAAGAAGTCCAGGATGCTCCTCCTGGGTGCTACCCTCAGAGCACTTTCTGGTTGCTTCCAAATTCCTGGAGAAGCATATGGTGTCCAGTGGGCTGACTCATGGCAGCCAAGGGACAAAAAAGAGGGTGAGAATATGAAGCTCCAGTGGGCTTTGGGGACCTGGGGACCTATGGCCTCATTGGTGACAGCTTCCATCTCATGGTCCCTTCCACCTCAGCCAGGGAGGTTGAGAAGAAGAGCGAATGTGAGGACTATGCCCCCAGTGCAGCCCATTCTTTAGCCTTCTCCTCTTCTGCCGACTGGCTTTCCAGTACCCGCACCTCATTCTTACATCCCACATGTTTGTCTTTTGCTGGGAAGGGTACAAATTTGGGCATGGATACAAAATGAGACAGAGCATTGGAAAAGCTGAGGATGGAGATACACACTCTGCTCTTTTCTGGAATATCTCACTGGTTTAGGGGAAATATTTGAAACTGTAAAGTTCTGGAAAATCTGGGAGATAGGGTCACCACAGAGGGATGAGGGAATATGGTAATCATGGAAAGAACTAAAGCTAATCAGCCCGGGTTGTGTGACCTAGTTAGAAGGCATTGCCCCTCCTTCTCAAGCTCACCTGGGGAGGAAATGCCTCAAGCCATCTTTACTCGTTTAATGGTTTACCTGTCTAACTATCTAGAAGTCCTTTGTTTGGTATAACCATCATCTTCCATCTCCCTAGTTAGCCTGCAATTTCTTGCTCTAGCTCCAGTATAAAAGCCTGCGAATCAATTTAGTAGTCAATAGCATTTATTGAGTGGTCCCTTAGGTGAAATAATACAGAGAAAATGATACATAGGACCCTCTGTGCTTGCTCTTTGGGATCTTAACAGCCTGATTAGGGGGAAATGATACATGAAAAAACTAGGGACCATATTTGAAAGCATTTACCTCTTAGTGCTTTGGTTTCCTCATCTGAAAATAAATGAATTTGGCTATATCTAATTGAGAACCACTGACTTCGATGAGCTTTGAGGGCTTTTTTCTGATTTACTTGCGAAATGCTAGAATGAGTCTTTAATGATGCAATTCATTAATAAAAAGCATCTTAATATGTTAAACAAGAAAAATCACACCATCAATTTAATAGATGCTAAGAAGACATTGGACAAAGTTCAAAATGGCTGTTCTTTTTTTTTTTTTTGAAAGATTTTAAAAATTGGCTATTCTTAATAAAACTCATTTAAAAAACTAGGATTCAATCAATGGTAGAGATTATTAGTATTTTGGTTCCTTCCAGCTCTAAAGTTCTAGGGTTTTGATTTCCTTTCTTGGAACTGAAATCAGGTTTCTTGTCGGGCGGGGGGAGGTTCTGACTTACAAAGAGAAAAACTAAAGATAAAGAGAAATAGGCTGGCAGGCATCAGGCACCCAGCAAGGCTGTGACAAAGCAGAGATGGTCTCCCAGGGGTCCTGACCACCTGCCAGCCAGGGCTTCATTTCAGGTAAAGACCAAAAAACAACCATTGATTGTTATTTTCTATTATCTCCCAGGCACGGTGGGGTCCCAGGAAAGACAAAAACATATAAAATACAACGACCCTTGCCCTCGAGTGGCCCATAGGCTTAAGTTAAGAACATTCTCTTTTCCAAAGTGGTGTCCACAGTGTGCTTCTCAGAGTAGCCAACAGGACCCGTAGCCTCAGGGTGCAGGGCAGCAAAGCAGGGGCACTAAAACAAATGGAAACTTTGACATAATTCGCTAGTTCATATTTTAAAAAATAAAAGCATTGAAGTAGTCATAATAAGAGAAATCAGAATTTTGTGGCACATCCTGATTTGTACTTACTTTACTTTTAGTATTGTTTGTCTCTTGAAGCCTTTATGCTAGAGGTGTGCACCCCAATCTTTTCAGAACTTAAGATTTTTAAGGGTCTTAACTCCATCCAGCTCAGCTCAGTGTGCTGGAATAGCAGAAATGTCGATGCGTGCTGCGAATGGGAATGGGAAAGAAAAACTCGGAGGGAAGGCTGTGTGCAAACAGCTTCTAGACTTTTTCAGACAGGACCTTCGCTAGACCCGCGGCTCTAAAAGAAGAATGAGCAAGGCTGCTCAGGACCACCAGGTGGCAGGAGTGAGCTGCTCAAGGACTCCGCCTATCACGCCCACCCACTCCCGGGCTTGTGTCGGGGGCAGAGCGTTGGCCCCTTTTTGCAGCGGGCAGTGGCAGAGCTGTCGGCGCTGAGGCAAGGGCTGGAGTGGGAAGAAGTCTCAGAGGGTTATGGTACTGATTCTGCCCCTTCCCCCAGTCTTGGCTCAGAGAGGGCAAGGCCCTTGTCAAAGGTCCAAAGGTGTCCTGACTCCTAGGCCAGAATTCAGTGAGCAAGCTTCTATTTCCTGCCCCGCCACCTGCTTCCTTCCTTTCACAGACAGGTCCTGAGCATCACTGTGTGCCAGGTATGTGCTAGAAGTGTCCAACAGAGCATTTCACAAGAGGTGCACAATCAGTGGAAGAGAGCCTGGTGAACAGCCACGCTCCTGTGACGCTGGGAGGCGGCTGAAGTAGTGGTTAAGTGCTGTGTTGGAAGTCAGACAGACTAGGATGTGAATTCAAGCTCCACCACTGGCTAGTTGTGCAAACTCTGTGAGCCTCAGCCTCCTTGTCTGTAAAATTGGAGTGAATGATCCTCATAGAAGACCAAGAAGTTGATGTACAAAAATTCACTGCCTAAAACAATTTTTTCAATTGCTTTTTGGTGAGGAAGATTGGCTCTGAGCTAACATCTATTGCCAATCTTCCTCTTTTTTTTTTCCTCCCCAAAGCCCCAGTAAGTAGTTGTGTATCATAGTTGTTGATTCTTCTATTTCTTCTACGTGGGATACTGCCACAGTATGGCTTGATGAGTGGTGTATAGTTCCATGCCTGGGATCCAAACCGGCAAACCCCAGGCCGCCCAAGCAGAGCACAGTGAACTTAACCACTATGCCACCCGCCGGCCCCTAAGATTTTTTTCAATAGAATCCACTGCCTGCCATATAGCTGTTATTATATTACAAATGCTGAATGCTAGGGGAGCAGCACCCCGTTCAGTCTTGAGGAGACTTCCTGGAGAAGGTGACCAGCGTGTAGACACTTGAAGGATGAGCGGCAGATTTATAGGGGAAGCAGGGAGAAGTGGTGGCAGTGGGTCAGGGTGGAGGGAGGTGGGCAGAGAGGGAGTCGACAGACAGACTCTGGGAAGCATGGATACAGAGCCCCTGGTTCACTGGCTGCAAGGACAAGGACAAGGACAAGG